CAAATTGTGAATTTAATACTAATGATAAGAAAACTTCAGGTTTATGGTCTGGTTTATGGTCTGGTTTACATTCAGGAATCTTTCATGTTTTGCTTTTATCATCTCGATGTTATGAAAAAGAAGAAAATCAATGAATCATAAATTGCACATTTAAATATTATTTCAGTTTTAGTAATCTTTGTGCTGCTTCTGTAGCAAGAGCATTAATTTTTCTCAAATATAATTTTAACAAGAAATGTCAGTTTAGAGAAACAAATATGTCCACCTTTGCCACAAACTATCTCTGTTTCCACTTCTGAATTTTTATCATAAAAATATGAGAAGTAATGATATATGTGCTTTTGTTCTACATTCACTGTCAGTGAGTATGACAGACAAGATAAATCAAACATGTAGGTGCCAAGTTATTCTCCATACTTACAGAAATATTCTATTGTTATGTCATAAACTTACAAGCTAAAGGAATTAGTCCTTAAGACATACAAATAATCTGTAAACACTTTGCCAAATATAAGGTTGCTTTTTTTCCCCCAGAAGTTCACTATATTTTCAGCTGGGTTTTATGGCACCCTTTCTAAGTATCCCTTCTTTACCTTTGCACAGCATGAAAATGGGTCAGATTATAAGCATCAGCCACGTAATTCCTCCAGAATCTCCTTTTCGTTCATATAAAGAATTTCAGATGCACTGGAAGAGTTTGGTAAGAAACTGCTTTCATTATTCCCACCCTTGGCTGTGCCTATTGAGTTTGTATTTGTAATACAGATTTGTGTTTGTTTTTTTTAAAGTATGGATACATTCTTCCTGAAGATCCTGAAGAAACGAAAATATACCTGAGTGTTTACTTCAAACCAATAGGAGAAAGGTTCTTCACGTATCCTTTCAGAGTATTTTTGTTACATTCCCTCTACTACGCTTCTAGCGAAGATCTACTTTTTGATTTTGAATGTGCCACTTTTCCTTCTTCCGTAATTTTATAGAAGCCCATAAAGAATTGCTTCACTAGACAAGCTGAAGTGAAATGTTTAGTCAGGTCTCTGCCCTAATATTGAATGACAGTAAGTCAAATGGAATAGTTTGCTTCACAGCTTCCATAAACATGATAATGCCACTCTAAATGGTGATGTAAAAGAAAGGACTAAATTCCTTTAAAAATAAGGTCAGCAAAGAATTGTTGTAAAGAGAATTTTCCTGCCAGGAGAGACTAGACTAAGAATTACTTATACTGAGTAGTCTTCGCCATGTTAGGTTAATGTGTAATAATCATGCTGAAGTCCTGTAACTTTTTAGGTTTCTGTCCCTTGAGAAAGCAGGTGCTTTTGTTGACCTTTTTAAAAAAAAGCTTTAGATGTGTTCATTCTGTCTTGTCAATGAAGATGATTAATAACTAAATAAATGTAAAGAAACTTGTTATGTATCCCTGAACACTTACTCAGGTACCCTTTAAATTGCATTCGAAGTCAGCCTGTGCAGTATTGGCCTAGAACAGATTCAGAAAGTGTGGTGAACTCTTTCCTTTCTGACATGAAGCACAATCTTTCTCATCTGTGTGGATTCCCAGTAAAGATGACAAGTAAAGCACTTTATGCTACACAGGAACTCTCGAGGGCTCCGGTGCGTGTAAGGCTGTTTTATAAACATATGAATAGCATGTGCATTTGCATGGTATGAAGTGGTCTTTTATCCTAGCCAGAGCACAGTAAGAGCATAAAAATTCTCACAGCAAACAACTATCAATCATGTAACTTTTAATTAAATGTGCAAGTAAGAATTATATCGATATTTGCCATTCTAGTGGTGTTGTGCACATCACAAATACATTGAATGAATTGGACTTGGTGTTAATTAATCTCTATCAACATTTGCAATTCTACAAATGTTATTTTACAGTTGGATATTCAGAACTTTCCCAGATCTCTTCCGTAATAATAACAACAGTGATAACAGCAGCAAGAAATTGTTATTATTACTATCACAAGGGCATGGAGTGAGTGGACAAGGGGGAATGGCTTTAAACTGAAGGAGAGTGGGTTTAGGTTAGATATCAGGAAGAAATTCTTTACTGTGAGGGTGGTGAGGCACTGGAACAGGTTGCACAGAGAAGTTCTGGATGCTCCATCCCTGGAAGTGTTCAAGCTGGGCTGGATGGAGCTCTGAGCAACCTGGTCTAGTGGAAAGTGTCCCTGCACATGGTAGGGGGGTTGGAACTAAATGATCTATCAGGTCTTTTCCAACTCAAACCATTTGCAATTCTATTATTATTCTTAGTATTATTACTACTACTGCTAATACTATGATTTATTTTTAAAAAAATGTTCTGTGGACTTAAGCATTTAAGAACACTCAAGCTGTAAGATTTACTCCATGTCTGGTGATGGAAAGGAGGCAAGTAATCAAAACTCCTTTAATTTGAGGTTGTGACAAATGCTGAGACTCAAATTTCTTTGGTAGTAGTGTGTGAAAGAAGAAATGAAGTAATTAATTCTGAACAAAGAATAGTGACAGAAGTTGCAGAGGTTCTAAAATGCTATAATCCTCTTTCAGAAAGCAGTTCCTGTTTATGTCTCTTCTGTGATCAAAGCTAGACTGGCTCCACTGTGTCATCTGCAGCTTTTATAGGCATCCAAACTGTCTTTTGCTCAGAATACAGATGCTCTTAGAAGTCTTAAGAGACGAGGAGCCCTGTCAGTCAAACTCTCTGCAGATCCCCTCAAAAGGGGTAGGCATTATCCAGTTGGAAAGCACTAAACCAAGATAATGACTGTAATTTAAGTCTTTCCTTCTGAGAAAGACAATATTCTGGCATAGCTTTTTAAACAAAGAACTGGGAGATGAGAAAATAAAAATCTTCATTTCTAGTGACAAATAAATAGTGTTTAAAAATATAGTGATACTAATTCAAACCAGGAAATTCTATGGTTATATACTGTGGTGTGATTAGGTTGGTATCACGTAGTGATGCGTTAGGTGGCACTATCAGACTTTTAAATCCAGTTGATTCAATTTAGCAACTTTTGTTGTATTGCAGGAAATAAAATCCAAGCATATGAAATTTGGTGGTGAGACGGTTTGTGCAGGCTCCCTAACGCAGGCTCCTCCAAGGAAACCGGCTTTGCCCAGAATTCCTTCACCATGCAGTATGGAAAACAGCCACTGGATGGAGCGTTTGATCAAAGAGCCGGGAACACGCACTTGTTCGAGTAGCAGTGAGAGTACAAGAGAGGTCAGCGTTGAAGCAACAGAGCAACCAATGAGTAATAAGCAAATGCCAGGAGTACCGGAGTTACCAGTTGCGAAATCTTCAGGGATACCTGTAAATTCAGCCTTTGGACTCCCCGCCCCCAAAAAAGCATGCAAATTTATACCAATCTTCAAAGGAAAGTTGATGAAAATTAATGGAATCACAAATCAGACGGATGGGAAGAAAAGAGAAAATGCTGGAAGACACACACCAATAAAAATTAGAGGTGTTCCATCTTTTATGCTGGCTGTGCACAAGTCCAGCACAACTCAGGTTTGCAAACCCCTTCCAAATACACCACCTAAAAATGCTGCTGACAGCAGTGCACTTCAGGTAATGAACATGAAAATACAAGCAAAACGTGGTACACCCATATGTCAATGGAAAACAGAGTCTGCTGGACAGATGACTAATTCTGATTTTTCTGCTGACACAGCTTCAGGTGGGAATTCAAGTGAAGTCAATCACAAAAAGGCAAAATCTCCCTTCCTTCTTAAGAGTGTTGGGCCATTGCCTCAGAAATCAAACACCAATCTCAGTCTGAATACATATGAATCTCCTATTTCCAGTGCAAGAAGGGGAAAAAAGTTTGCAAGCCAAAATAGCATGCAAGTTAGTGAGAAACAACACCAGTCAAAGGAAGTACATCTGCAGATTTGTAAATTAGACAGTGAAATGACAAATTCCAGTTTGTCACAGCAACGAAGAAAGAGATCAAATGAAAGAGCAGGGTTAAATATTCATGAACCTGTCTTCAAAGATACAGCATGTATTGCCAAAAGTGAAGAAAATAAAGCAGCATGGCATTCCAAGGACTATGTCACTAAGACAACCAGTCATCATTCCAAATCTGACTTTGAACAGGTACAGTAAATAACAGGCTCGTTCTCAGTGGTTCTCACAAATTCAGGCTATTCAAAAACAACGTTAAGCAATGAAGAGCATGACTTTCATCATGTTCGACCATCATTCTCAATATACTTTTCTAAAATTCTACCATATAAGTTCAGTTAATGTTATCAGCCACTGCTGCCTTTTGGGGTTTTTTTTCTGAAAGGGAAGATGATTTACCGTGTTGTGTGAGACTTTCAGGTGGGATAATTAGTTCTCCTTTGTTTAAGACAGTTTACCAAGATCTGTTAACATGGTGAAATCTTTTGGTGTTCAGTCTGTCTTCGTATGAAACCATATGAATACTCATAACTCATAAAAGGTGTAGAACACGTGTCCTACAAGGAGCAGCAGAGAGAATTGGGTTTGTTTAGCCTTGAGAAGAGGCAGCTCAGGGGTGACCTTGTCACTCTCTACAGCCACCTCAAAGAGGGTTGTAGAGAGGTGGGGGATGGTCTTTCCTGCCATGCCTGTAGTGAGAGGACTAGAGGGAATGGCCATAAGCTGAGAAAGGGAAGGTTCAGATTAGATGTAAAGAAAATTTTTTCACTGTTTGGGTTAGGGTGAGTCAGGCACCGGAATAGATGCCCAGGGAGGTGGTAGAGTCACCATCCCTGGAAGTGTTTAGATGGTGTCTGGACCTGATGCTGGAAGATATGGTTACAGTGGAGTGGCAGGTTGGAGTTGATATCTTAGAGGTTTCCTCCAACCTTGATGATTCTAATGGAATAATTAATGGAAGGGCAATGAAGCTGGTGAGGGATCTGGAACACAAGTCCTATGAGAAGAGGCTGAGGAAAACTAGGGTTATTTAGCGTGTAGAAGTGGTGACTCGGGTGACCTTATCACTCTCTACAACTGCCTGAAAGGAGGTTGTATCCAGGTGAAGGTCAGTCTCTTCTCCCAGGTAAAAAGTGACGGGAGGAGAGGACATAGTCTCAAGCTGCATTAGGGAAGGTTTAGGTTAGACATTAGCAAGAATTTTGTCACAGAAAGGGTGATTATACGCTGGAATGGACTGCTCAGGAAGGTCGTGGAGTCACCATCCCTGGAGGTGTTTCAGGAGAGACTGGACGTGGCACTCAGTGCCATGGTCTAGTTAACATGGTGGTGCTTGGTCATAGGTTGGACTTGATGATCTCAGAGGTCTTTTCCAATCTGATTGATTCTGTAGTTCCTTCCTCCTGGAAGGAATCTCAAATCTCATCAATTGTGCAGTGCTGAGTGCAGTGTGTGTAAGGTGTGGTGCTGTTAGATGAACATGGAAGTTTTGCAAATACAAAAGTTTAATTAAAAATTCACTAAAAGCACAAGTTGCAACAGGAAAAAATCCTGCTGGACATAAGGAAAAAGCCCTTCAGAGTGAGCCAAGTACTGGAACAAGTTGAACAGAGAGGTTTTGGGGGATACAAGCCTTTCAGATTCTAAGGACTGGACTGGATGGGCCCAAAGCAATGTGGTCTGTCTTTGAAGTTAGCTCTGTTTTGACTAAAAATTACAGTTACATGACAGCTAGAGGTGCTTTACAACCTATTTTTAATATGATTCTCTGCATTTCAATAAAATAAATAGCTGATCTGATTTCAGTGCATTTTCTATGAGGATGATATCCCATATATTTGGCACATGGATGAAATGTCTTGTGCTTATCACTTTTTCCATCTCTCAAATGTAATGTGGCAGATTATTTCAGCTCTGTGTTATGAGGGCACCTTTAGAAAAAGTAGGTGATTTTAACAATTAGGAATTTTGTTCAAGATTTTGTGGGGTTTTATTTGCTAATGAAGGTATAAACTTTCAGATGCTTATAGGGAACAAGTATCTTATACATGAAACACTGACCTCAAAACTGACATTGTCAGTCAAGGACAGCAACGTGGAAGAATCTACAAAGAAAGGCTATGCCAGAAGAAGACAAGTTAACCCCCCCACACACATACATCCCTTAATCCAGACCAGAAGGACCTGAATTAAGAGATAAAAAGGAAATTAACAATTTTTTCGTCTTACCATGTCCCAGTTAAAATGTGCAAACTAAGAAATCTTACTGAGCCCACTCTGGGTAAAATTAACCTCAACCAGGATAAAATTAGCATTAGCCATTGGTTATGATACTGTTACTTCAAGCATTCATTTAAAATGTTTGTATTCAACAAAAGATACTACTAAAATGTTTAATGATACTATGTCTGAAGCAGATTTTCCAATTCTACAGAAAACAGTTTTATCCTACCCAATGTAACTATGGGCACTCTCAGTTTGCTCTAAAGGGCTCAAATTCAGCAACGTTCTCTAGGAATGAATTTTTGTTCTGTTATGCTTTAAAAGCCAAATACAAGACAAATCTGGAACTTTAAAATGTAATTAAAAGAGCAAAGTCCGTGCTATCCGTGCAGTTCAGAAAAGGCCAGTACAGCAACCTCAGGGGGCTGCTGCAGGAGCACACTCATAGCCTGGAGCTCACGCTGCAGCAGGGATGAGAGGAGTTGGTGTGGGAAGCACCAGCCCAGCTGCTCTGAGCTGGCCCCATCCAACTGCAGCTGGGAAAGGCCCTTCCACAGGCCACAACTGAGTCAGTAGTTGCAGGCCCAGCACTGCAATGCTACAGCAGTGGAGTCACAAAGAGAAGAAAATCAGCAACTAAAAATAACTGGTTATAAGAAAACAACTCCAGGGGCCTGCGTACTGAAGGGAGACTTCCACCACAATGCAAATTAAGTGCTGAAATGTTTCACCTGCCACTGAGAATGACACAGCCACACTAGTGCATGTGAGCATGGAGCTACCTCTGCAGCTTAGGCAGAACAGACAAGCAGAGAGCTTGTGCCTGCTCTGGCAGCACTGCTGGGATAGGGAAGGGCACTGTCCTGTCCTAGTCAGGAGTCACAAGTGCTCCATGCATTCCTCATTCTCCGGACAGGCTGTGGCAGGCACAGATACCTGCAAGCCACTTTTGGGAAGCAGCAGGAGACAAGTTCTCACTGCCTGCCACACTGCCAGTGTAGCACTGCCACTGCTGGAGTCGAGTGAGGTGGATGCACAGCTCTGGGGAAGCTTCAGCTGGAGTCTCAGGGACAGGAGAGGGACATGTCCTATTTACTGGGATAGGGATGGACTCTCTGATGCTCATTAACCTGATTCCTCCTACCTCCAGGTTAAAACACAATGGTGCTAGCTGTGGACACTGCTAGGCAGTTCCCTGAAGAGTAAGCCTTTGCCATTATCTCAAGTTTGGACACCAGAAATGATCAGTTGGTTTAGAAAGTCATGGTTGCCAGCATTTAAAGGGGTATTTTCAAAGTGGCTCTTGTTTTAATCATGTAGTCACTCCACATGTAAATGTACTTTAAATTCTATTTATGTTGGAAAATAGAAAATTTTATTAATTCACATTCAACTAAGCACTTCACTCAGAAACAACTTTTTCAGTTGAACTGTTAGCTTACTGCTTTGTTTGCTTTACTGTTTTTTGCTCTTTTTGTTGTTTTGTTTGGTTTTTTTGGTGAACAGCGAGAAGAAGGTTATTCAAAGTTGAAGAAAGCCAAAAGAAGCAAGCCTTCTATTTAGAATGTTCTGGAGTATTGGAAGAAAACTCTGGGTATGCTTATTACAAATTTAAAATATTTTTCTTTGTTAAGATAATATCACATGTATATAATAGCCCCTACTCTTTTGGATCTTGATGATATCAGATGTCTACAAAGAATCACTTTACTAAAGAAGTGGCATCTCAAGAAAAATGATGAGGTAACAGAAGCTAAGGTTCTTAGTTTTATTTGTTGCTAGCAAATAAAGCTTTGCCTTTGTTTTGGGGATTTTTTTGTGAAACAAGCAATGTTGAAAAAGGCATTTTGTACTTACTAGAACTTAGAACTTAGCTTTGCTCTGAATTCCTTTATTGTGTGTTACTGCACATGCATTCAGAGTGCATGTTTTCATTTGAACACTTGAGAATTAAGTTTTCAAATTTACTGTGTAACAAGATTTATGGGTGAGAAGGTCTTACAGTGGAATTCAATGATGTAGTCAGAAGGAAGGACTTGGTTACATAATTCATGGCAATAAAAAACATATTTTACTATTGTCTTGCAGAAAGGGTCAGTTTTTATGACTAATGTGCCAAGTTGCACAGCCTCTTGTCCAGGAAATCACAGCATAATCCTAATTTTCTTCCTTGTTTTTTTGCTGGAATATGTTAATAAAACAACGTGAGAGAAGTATTTAACATTTTAAGAGTCTGAACATTTGAATTGAACGCTAAATCATTCATTCTGGTTTTACCCATATGTAGACAATCCCCCACCCTCTGGGGACAGACTCGTGCTTTTCTTTGGCATAAAAGGATTAGCTGGATATTAAGCATGAGTTTGAGATACCTCTCTCATACCCTCATTTTTGGGCTTGGACTATGCTGGGTACATTGCCCTTTTGCAAGGTCATGCAGGTTGCGCCAATGGAACCTCTGAGACTGGTGAGGTGTCTGGGCAGTGGGATAGGGACAGACTATCTGCCACTGAGTGAGCTCTGCAGAGTCTGTAGGGTAAGTCTACTGGATTTTCATTGAATTTAATAGGAGTTTTGACATCTAACACATAGGTAGACAAGTAAATGTAGGTGGTCTAAATCTGGAGCTCAAACCCACCCCAGGAGTAAGACTTGAACAGTTATGCAGTTTAAATAAAGACCTGCACGACAACAAAGTTTACAGAAAAACATTTCTAGATTGTTTTTAAGCTGTTTTATATTTGCAGTTAATTTTTAAAGAAGATCTCCATGTTTAGTCCTTTATTAATGGAAGTCATCCTATCCTTCGTTAGGAACTGTAGTGATGGGACAAGGAGTAATGGGGACAAATTGAAAGAGGGCAAATTTATATTAGATATTAGGAAAAAACCTTTTACTGTGAGGATGGTGAGACACTGGCACAGGTTGCCCAGGGAGGTTGTGGATCCCCCAAGCCTGTGTTCAAAGCCAGGTTGGATAAAGCCTTGAGCAACCTGATCTAGTGGGAGGTGACCCTGCCCATGGCAGGGGGTTGGGACTAGATGATCTTCAAGGTCTATTCCAACCCCTTAACGTTCAATGAGTTTGTGATCATTTTCAAGGTAAAAAAAAATCCTGTGAAAGGGAAGTTTGGCTTCTAAGACCAATTAGAAGAGCAGAGCTTCCAAAGGATAGTGTATGCTACTACAGAAAGATGATTTAAAAGAAGGATTTATATCATTGCAAATGTTGGAGCAAGAACAGACATGTTAAAAATAGCAGCACTGGAGGTCTCAAGCCTTTTCCACTGATCTGCAAAACTCTTCCTGCTCCTGTGTTGTTGGGTGATACCGACCTTCAGTTTTACTTGCCAAATTTCATTTAGCAAATTAAAAGATACAAAGTCATTGTGTATAGTAATAATAGTAGCATGTCACCCCAAAGTATATGCTGTAAGGATATTATATGAACACAAGATGAAGGCAGGAGATCCACACTACTGGGATTATATGACTTTTATATAATCCCAGTTATAACTGGAATTTGATAAAAATTCTCAGCAGTTTTGGGCTGAGATCTGTTGGAAAGTTTCTTCTAAAATGTGTATTCCTCAAGCCAACATTTAGAATTTATCTTCTAACTTGAAGGCTATGGTACAGAAATTTCAACGAAGCTATCTTTCAAATGCTTTCTTGATGTGAAATATTAGGCTACAATAATGTCCCCTGCATGTGGTGAAAATATTTTGGGTATTGTTAAAAAAAGATTGTGAAAAAGCGATTTCTTTCATGATTTATGGGAGAAAATGTTGAACTTAAACCTAGAAGCAGAAATAACCTTTGGACTGTGTATATTAGTAGGTTGTTGGTGCCTAAATATTGAGAGATACTCAAAAAAAATAGATGTTGTCATTATTGCTGTTATCCTATCCATTTTTCAGTGCTGCAGGATTATTCCAGGTTAGGGGTAATCTAACTTACTGCATGGTTGACTCCTATAAATGCTAAAGAATAGTTTCTTAAGATTCTGTCTCTCATGTTATTGTAGAATTAGGAATGTGACCTCAGCAGGTTAAGAAGTTGTGAATAGACTTCTGCAATTGAAGTTCCTTCTTCCAGCACCAAAACTGAGTGTAATATTTGAGGGCTTTAAATTTAAATCCCCGGACCTAAGAGGAAGGATCAAGCTGTGCATGGTACCTTAGATTTATCAAGGAGATAATTCTTTCTTATTCTGTATAAAAATGCAAACATCTCATTCGAATGCCCTAAGTCCAAACTTATAAACAGAATACAAATACAAATGTGGAAACACAGCAACTTTTCCCCCCACATATTAACTGTACCATTCTGAGTTATCTTTTGGTTTCTTCTACGATCTAAACTTTTTCTGTGTTTTCCTCCATTCAGGTTCCCAAGAGGGCAGTAACATACTTGAGGATCTCTGAGCTTTGTGTGTTTTGCTCTGTTTGTCATTGGTACCTGTCTCTGGATGAAAAACTGAGGGTTAAATACAGTCAAGTGAATCCATGTATCATCAGCTTCTCCAGGGGGTTCAGGATAATGACTCTAACAAATCTGAAAACTTAGCTAAATTGTTTAGTTTTTGAATCACATTATGTCTGTCCTAGTACTTGCTTGCACAGTTAATCATTCTTCCAAGTTATTTTGATGTTTCAAGTCTGGTTTTTAAAGGTATAATATTTAATTCTTTGCTGCAATGTCTGGACCACTTTGTTGCATCAGTAAAACATTCCTAAATAAGTTTTCCTTGTCAAGTCAAATGGTTAGAAAATAAACAGTAATTTTACTCTTAGGGGAATAATCTGAAGGCCAGATTTGATTTAAGCTTCATTAATCCTTGTTCTAACTTTCAGAAATGAAACTGCTCTGTAAGATTATTTTTCTTTGTATGATTGACACCTCCATTCTTTGGGAGTTCATGCAGGATGTGTAGTTGCCCTTTGAGAAATTTGTGGCCCTAAATGTATCTTCAGTGACCTACTTGAAGGTGCAGTTACAAATATATACACATATGTGATTGTAGCCCCAGAATCACTATTTTTAAGTCAATGTTATTGTGTTACATGGAAAATAAGAATCAAATGTCACATTAGTTCCTAAACTAAAATGTTATAGAACTGTAGTTTAACCCTTGCTGTGGAGAGACATTTGCTTTTTTTTTTCCCTGAAGGGGTTGATACAAGGGAACTTTATGCTCTTTATGACAACATTTTAGGTTTATATTGCCATAGCTGTATTTTTATTCACCTCATTTTTCAAAGCAGGATTTTGCCCAGCTACTGTGACAACTTTTGTTTTGTTTTTTCTTGAACGGTAGACTGAAAACATAGCTCCAATTCCATGGTGCCAGTGTTTAAAAGAAAGTGGCATTTCAAGAACACATCATTTTCTCATACATAATACAAAAAAAATACAAACCAACACAAATATTACAGAACAATATGCTCAACAAGAAATCAAATTATATTTACATTTTTTCTGGAAATTGGTATACAAGGCAAGGCTGCTTTTCAAATGCTGTGGATTAGTTACTCTTTGCTAGGTTTGACTATATGTCAAATCTCTGACTTTATGTCAGATCTTTTTCTTGGCTTACAATATGGAAAAGCCTATAGAGCAGTTGCATTTCTACCATGCTGTATACATTGGTGCTTTATCTGACCTGTTTCCTATTGTTGCCTTTAAAATGCTGCCAGTTGCCAACATTTGCCTTGTATTATCCCAGAAGTAATTTTGCACTATCTTGCATTTTCAGATGTTTACATTTTTTTGTGTTATCTGTTATAGTACTCAAAATACAGAAAATGTCATTATTGGAGATCCAACTTTTTCCATTTGTGCTACGTTTCCAGCTTCATTCTAGTCTGAACTCCAGCACACCCACCCACTCCTGGTAAATGTATGGGAAGGTGTTGATAGTGAGTGAACCATGCTGGGTGCAGGAGTGGTTGGTGGTGGAAATGCCACTAATAGGTTGAAGGATTGGTGCTGTGACTGCCTTGGGATGATTTGGTGATGCTCAAGGGTCCTTTGCTGCTGCCTTACCCTTCACTGTTTGTATGGAGGGGCTGTAAGAGCCTACCCCAGGTTCTGTTTTTAGTCAGTTCTTACTGCCTGGGCAGAATGCCCTGACTTCTGGAAGCTACACCAGCCTGTCAAAGCACAGGAACCCTCAACACCTACAATCACCTGGAGCCTCCACATGTGATGTCTGTGGGCTTGAATTCTCAAGATTTTAGAAACAGACACCTCCACCTGCCTCAATATATATCAGTGTACCTCAGGAACAAGTGAAAATGTAAAAGGCTAAGACAGTCCCCAGGTGTGAGAAGCTGGTAAAGAGGTCAACTGGCAGAAGCTGTCACCTGCCCTTTGACATCTGATGGGTTTTATGGTGTTTTGTAACTTTGCCATCAGCTTTCAAATAATCTGATTCTATGTCTAAATTGACTCAGATTTACCTTTGTGAAAGCTTTCTTTGGCCACTGTGTTAGAGGATTCAGGAAGTATTTGTTGGGTTGAAGTATTTGTAATGAGTTCACAATGTTCAGTAAATGTGCA